CTTGTTTCTTTGGCAAATGGCAGCAACTCAGGGGCTGTGTACATGACAATGTTTTCAGGCAAAAACAGGAAACTTTTTATGCGATTTGCCTGTTCATTTATACGACAACGGCGTTTTGGGGACTGAAAACGCATATTTTTGAAAACGGGTTTTAAAGTGCAAGTTTTTGAAAATGCCACCGTTATAATTTCCGTGTAAACACCCGAAACGGGAATCTTTGAAATCGTTGACGTCATGCACGTGCGTAGTATGTGTTAGGTATGTAGACATGTGCAGTACGTGACGATTTTAAAGGCAAGCATGAACAAACATACACAACAGTGGCGGAGTACATGGTACTGTTGCTGCTGCTCAAGAGTTTGCTAACGCTTCTTCAGCAAAGTGTGGATTTACTTCAATATTACAACCAACAGCGGAGACGCATCATTTACATTATATAATCATCACTTCCCTACAGGTACTGTTTACTAACAAGGTGAGAGCGCCAACTACTGGCCTGGCATACGTAATACAGCGTTTTTGGCCGTTTTCGCGGATGTGTGTAAACGCGAATCGTTTTGAAAACGTTGTCGTGTATATGTGAAACTTTTTAAAATCGCAAGGGAAAAACGTTTGCGTTTTTGACTACCATCGTTGTTGTGTAAACTAGAGACCTGCACTCCCGCGGGAGTACCGCAGGACCCAACGCAACAGGGTGCGGCATGGGACAACTCTTGATGGGCGAGTGCGGGTGGGAAGAGACTCGTGTGTGTGCGGGATGCGGGAGAATAAAATGATTTGCGGGACTCCCGCAAAATAGAAATTATCTAAAAGTGTCTAAAACATATAAATTGTTATTTATCTGTTGCACTAAAGCAAAAAGAACAACTAATATTAACATTGAAATGATTAGCGCGCAAGCTAGACATAGTTTCCATTAATAATGTAGACAATCACAGACTCAGCTGTTGATTTCTGGAACGCAATGGCCAATCAGAGGTGATTAAGTTAGAATCTACTCACCGCAGTGCTGAAATTGCGTGCGCTCACGAATCCTCTCATTTTAGACACTGTGAAAGATTCATTGTGCATATATTTAGTGTTATAACAGAGCTTTATGAGATCGCGATTAACTGAGATGTCAGCTTTTAGTGATAATAAAGGAAGCGTGCTGCTCGCATTCTGCCATGCCAAACCATGCACGCAGCAGCCCATGCTTGCTTTCTGTAAAAAATAACAGTGGTTGTGAATATTGATGCTTAGCCTAAATAACAAATATTTTATCGGGAGTGTTTATGCTGGGATGTTGTGGAGCTTAGGAGATGTTACAGAACCATTTCATGTAAATTTCTTCAATGTACTGAAAACAATCTATATAGATTACTTTTATGCGAGCGGGATAAAGCATGAATGTCGCGGGTGGGAGCGGGACCAGATAAGATATATTTTTGCGGGAGCAGGTGGGCGCGGGACAGAATCTTGCGGGAACGGGACTGAAAAATCCATCCCGCGCAGGTCTCTAGTGTAAACGTAGCCTCAGTCTCACAGGCACTGCACGCGATTCATCCACGCCCACTTATTTACATGTCTCGGTATACACAGAATAAAAAATATCTGTTACAGTTGACATTTTCTACTGAGGTAACGATATATACCGTCATACTTCCCAGCCCTAACCGCAAGTATATTTCAAACCTGTGGGAAGCACTGGGTTCATTGGATCGCTATTGTGGTGATCTAATGTGACTGGCAGCTTATCGTCCCACCATCACATACATCATCAGAGATGTCTAATTTGTTTAAAGATTGTGAGGGGACATGGATGATGTTGTGCACAGCTGAATTACTTATAATAAACACTGCAATATAGTTGTTTGTTTTAATAGTGAATTTACAATAAAACCGTTCAATGACTTTTCTCATTTTGGTAATGTGGGTAATGCACTCATACCTGACGACCTGGCTGAAGGCTTTGTAGTTGGTCAGAGTCCTATAGTCTTCCTCAGTGAAGACATGATCGATGTCCTCCATACCCCAGGTATCCAAAAGCTGAGAAGAATTTTTCGGCTCCTTAAAATCAGTTAAGAAAAACACTTCTTATAGAACTGAGTGATTCGATTTGTATTTACTTTAACATTCAGTTCATTTAGCTGACAAAGCCCATATAAACTCACAGCATCGTCATCATCCTCGTCTTCCTCTTCCTCAGGTTCCCTCCGTTTGGAAGCTGCTGAGTTTCTGTCGGCACCAGAGCTGCTTCTTTTCTTGTCCTTTGTGGTGCTGGCTCTTTTCTTCTTTTTCCTGCCAGGTGTGTAGTCGCTACCCTCGCTTTCCGAATGGTCTTCACCATCGTCCAAATCAGGGCCTTCCACTGGCTCCGGAGAACTGATGCCGATATCCTGGAGGACACATAGGACATACTTTTGATCAGTTTTGGATGCTGGTAAAATCACTAGTCCATTGTACAAAACAAGATTTTAGGTTAAGACTTATATTAATGTAAAATACTATGCAAAGGTTTGAATTTAGTAAGATTTGTTAAAGGGGTCATATGATGCTTTTTTAAAGATCATTATTTTGTGTATTTGGTGTAACAGAATATGTTGACATGCTTTAATGTTCAAAAAACACATTATTTTTCAAATACTGTACATTATTGTAGGTCCTCTATGCCCCGCCTCTCTCAAACGCTTCGTTTTCTACAAAGTCCCTCCTTCCGACAAGCGCAGTCTGCTCTGATTGGCCAGCTGACCCAGTGCATTGTGATTGGCCGAACACCACAAGCACTCGTCGGAAATGTAACGCCCCTTACCATAATCAC